ATGGTCACCTACATGTTACAATTGTCGAATTTGAACCGGAACTTGGGGAGACCTCAAACTTTGATCCTGTAGTGTTTTCAAGTCCGAATCAACATTCTAAATCCATTTTCAAGGAAGATTTTGTGAAAAGAAATTAAGACGAACATAAGATTCGCCTTTTTCTTCTGTTTTCAAACATCCATAGTTCAGTGACAGGAGCACTTACACAGATTCTTACTGTATGGGAGAAATATTCATAATGATAAAATTTTGAATATTTCAAAAAGAGACCAAAACTATGCTGATACTCCAAATGGTTAAAGAACAGCTACAAATTTACTTTGGGTGCACCTTTCCATAGGCGTTTTGGGCAAAGTTGCCCTCGGTTTAAGGGGATAATTATTAATTAAACAATAGCATTGCCATGTTCATGATCTGCAATCCTAAATTTGACATTAAATAATAGCTGGCTTTAAAAAGTATAACTAACAATTAGATAAATAAACAACAAACAGGAGGTTAGCATCAGATGCATACATAATATAAATAAAAGACTATTCAAAAGACAAATTAGAGGACAGTTGAAAATGCGGTGACATCAAACAGCACCTGATTCGTACATCTCAGATCTGCATATAAAATTGGTCAATGTAAATTCCTGCTCAGTATGTGCGCTAAATTTGAATTTGAACACCGTCACATGAGTTGGAGTCTTCTGCATCACTGATCCAGGTCGTTTTTGTCACGTCTGCCTGGCCGATAGTGGCGCTGGCAAAACTCCCTGATCCGACCACATGCTTCCAACATCATCTGCTCTGGAACTGTCACCACAATGCGGAAGAAGTTGGGATACTCAAAAGCCTGTGAGAGGAGAGGCTCTGAATATCACACAGCGGCTGGATTTCTGGCATTTTTTTTTTCTGACAAAAGTGCTGAAGGTGGGAACTTACTGTTGCAGGCAGACAGAAAACTGACTGCTCGGTCACCAGTCGTTCAGTAAAGTCAACATCACTCTGAAAATCTGGGAAGCGCTCTATGTCGATTCCAATCTGAAAAAACACACAATTAGATGCTATGTATCTGTTAGATTAGTGGAGGAGATTGTTAGATTTTTTTCAATCATTTCAATAATCTATAACTGCTTCAAACAACAAAGAGTATGCAGAAAAGTGGTTAAGATTGAATGACTGTGTCTTATGTGTTGTGTTGTATTATTTTGTTATTATGTTACTATGACTTCAACATGGCGCCGCGAGAGTGGCTGCCTTTACAGCAGGTCCTATACTTTTTGTTCTTCTACTTTCTTCCTTTCATACCTTTGCTGCTGTACATTGGGAATGTCTCCATTGTGAGACGAATAAAGGTTTTCTTATTCTTATTCACAAAATGGCAAAACAAACACCGATGCAAACCCACCAAAGTTACAAAAACTGTTGATGGTAATTGGTAACCGGATACAGATAAGGAAGCATATGAAGCACCGCACAAATGTATTGTTAGATTTCAACAATAATGGACTTTGCTTCTAAAAACTAAGAATCACCGGTAGTATGTATTCCAGTCAGTCATGGTGTAGTGGTAAATTTGCCTGCCTTTGGTGCACTCAGTGAAGGTACGAATGTGCGAGTGAATGGTTGTCTGTCTCTCTGTGGGCCCTGTGATTAAATAGCGGCCAACTCTGGATGTGGTTCGGCTTTTGCCTGCAGTCAACTGGGATAGGCTCCAGCTCATCCGTGACTCTGAGCAGGATCAGCAGTATAGAAAATGAATCCTTTTACATCCTTGGGATTCAATATAAGAGCTGAGTCAAAACATTCTCCTTTACAGAGATATTAACGCTCAGTTTTTATTGACGAAATTATGTTATTGTTTATTTGTTTATTTTTGTGGTTGTAGTTTGCAGCGAATGTGGAATGGTATGGTGTCATACGTAAATAATATATCAATACTATTTTTTCCCCTATTTACTTCCTACATGAGAGATTCAGATGAATAAAAATGGGCCTTTCTTTTATTCAATGCAGTTCTGCACCACAACCCAACCTAAAATATAACCATTATGAGAAGTATATTGTGATATAATATCGAATACCTACCTGACAGAATCTACAAAAAGTGAGCATTCTTTTCTCACTTAAATACAGCACTGTACAAAAGTCTTGGGCCATGATTACCGGTACATTTTTTTTTTTTTTTTTTTTTAAATCGCTTTTCCTGTTCAGGGCCTTCTGGATCCTTTCCCAGGGGACTTAAGGAGAAAGGAAGGTTAAAAATTG